TTTGTCTGTTCTGGGCTAATGTAGAAACATGGCCATTCAACAAGGCGGACTCCACAGAAGGTGAGCCGGGAGTCTGTATATTAAAAACGGCTCAGTCTAAGGTAGTCTGAACATAGTGAAATAAAAATTAATGTCCCCACCTGCTTTTCTTTGCTTTCCTGTTTTGCTTTCTTAGACCACATAAACCACCCACTCAATTATATTAAATATCAAACATTTTGTTGCATTAAAGATATGAGGACAGAAATATTGGATTATATGATCTAGTCTGTAAAAAAAAAGATAACTTGGCAACACAAACTGATTTTCTGAAGGAGTCAGGGTTTAGATGAAGGCTCGGTGCTGAAATGTGTTGGTTGCATAAAGTGCAGACTCCTCCAATTAGTCAGTTTTTTTGTTTTATTATTAGTATTAATCTGGCTCCCTTGTTGGGTGAATTTCAGTCAGTCAGACACACATATACTAAGTAAACATAAATAAATAATAAATTAACAACAGAACTTGTTGAGATATGTATTGAATACTTACAGCTGCTACTAAGCTGTTCTCAGTGATGAAGGTGACACACAGCAGAGGAAGTGTTTCAGAGCTCAGACTGTTCACCCTGTGGAGTCATAACAAAGGTTAGAGTGCACACACACACACACATGAACACACAAAGGTATTCTGCCCCGCCCTCTCTTACGTGCCAGTCTTGCCTCCCTCTGCAACGGACACAGTGGAGTCATGGGAGGTCCAGGCCAGGCGGTTGCCAGAGTGTGAGAAGCACACACTGTGCACCCACCCACCGCCTCCACCTGAAGCCGGACCTGCGGCTCCAGAGCCTCCGGACTCGAACAACATCTCCCCGAACGGCATCTTGCTGCCCCAGGGAGTCGGGCCGGGCTTCTCCTCCACCTCCTTAATGTAGGCTGAGAACACCCTGTGGGCGAGAGGGGTCAGGGTGTGAATGTGAAGACATTTGTGGGACATTAAGGATATGATTGGACTGGATTTACATTAGGCCAGGAGTTAAGATATAATGTAACATTAAAATGTCTATAAACACAAGAGCTATGTTATATATTTTGTATTATCCCAAATGTTTCCAACAATGTTCAAACTCAGAGAAATCTGTCAATGGTGCGTTTCACTGGTCGCCTGTCAATGTGCATGCATCAGTGTTGTGGTTGTCTGCCAGTAGCTGTCAAAAATGTACTTTCTATCCAGTTTTAGGACACATTTTTACAATACATT